GGAACCCCTCGACACCCCGACCGAGCTGCCCCCTCGACACCCCACGCCCCACAAGGAGCGCGCTGCTGACAGCACAGTCTGCTGTTTTGCTTTCATACGTATTTTGAGTCCTACAGAAGCCCCCTCCGGAGGTGCATGGTGGTCAGTACGGAGGCCACCACGCCCCGGCATCGCCCGAGTGTGGGGGCCGGTTCGGGGCTTCAGCCCAGCGCCCCCCCGGCTCTCCGTGTTGACTGCGCGGCCAGGCCCGTCTCAGGGCCAGGTCCCGCCTGCTCAAACTGCAATGGCAGGAGCGGCTGAGTCACCGCCGCCTCCTCCCGCCCCAGCACACCGGGAACTCCAAGCTGGGAAACAGACCAAACCCGTCCCTGCTTAATGCAGCCCAGCGTGGCAACACCTCATTTTAATGGGGCCCTCCACGATGCTTCACCAGAATGGAATCCCTGTGAACGCAGGCCGCACGCTCAGTCCAAACAAATTAAAAATTACTCTCACAATGAATCCCAAATAGTATGCTCAGACAAAACAACAAACTGTCATTAAACCCATAAACCTGCATCCCACAGGCGAACACAAAACGTCTCAAGCTGGAGTTACCAGCACGGGCACGCCCTCACGGGGTGAACTCTGCAGGCCCCGCCACGGCGCCCCAGAGCCGCACAGGAGGGGAGGTGGAGGCACGCGCACAGGAGGGGTCGCTCCTGGGGTCGGCCCATCCCACGCGGCCCCTCCGCAGACAGAGCCTCTCTGTGGCGCACAACAGGCGTGGCCCGGAGAACAGCCAGGAAGATGCGCCGGGGGTGTCCCTGAGAGTCAGGGCGTCCAGATCGGGGCTCCCCCCAAGACCAGGATGCTCTGCGCAGGCCCTGCACTGTAGGGACGGTGGAAACGGAGGGAACCGAGCGCCTGCAGCTGGCCTGGCTCCCGCCCCCAAGACGATGGGGCTCCGCCATCTGTATTCGCGAGGAGCCCGGCTACACGAAGGTCTGACGGTGACACAGAGGCCCCAGGTTCCACGCTGCACTGCAGGACAAGCCCCGGGCCCCAGGCCTAGCAGATCACTCGGCAGCCCAGGCCGGCGGGGCGGGCTGGGCTGGGCGCTGGGCCGGGCAGTCCCCGGTGGCCGCAGTGCAGCCGGCTCACCCACAGGCAGGACGCGGCGTCTCTGCTGGTAGCGGCCCGCGGGGGCCCGGGCCTCCTGACGGGACTCTGCTTAGCGCTCAGGGAGCGGAGCCACGCCAGCGAGCGCCTGAGCTGTGCTCTGAGCCACCACGGTCTCCCGAACGTCAAGTGCATGCCCCCCCCCACGCTCAGGGGACACGGCCCCTCACGCCTGGCTGGCCGCAGGCCTCTGGGTTCCAGCACAGGTGCTGCCGGCTCAGGCCTCCCCCACTCTGCAGCCAACACCCCTCGGCCCACTCCCAGCAGCTGGGTGCGCGCCCGCGGCAGGTTTAGAGCGAGGCCACGGCCACTGTGGCTGAGAACCCGGGCACTGTGAACTCGCCCCCGGCGGGAGCGCCTGGCGTCCAGGTCGGGAGGAAGCGCCTCGGCCACCGGGCAGCCGTCCTCGGGCTGGCCCAGGCGGAGCCCCGGCCGGGGGATCTGCACGCCGGCGGCACCCAGGCACGGGCCCGAGCGGGAAACGGAGTTCCCAGAAGCCAGTTCGCTCCCACCTGCCACTCCCCCGACCGTGCCTGTCCCGCACCGAATCGCACGCTGAGGCCGGCGCCGCCCTGCGCGTGCTCCGGAGTCACTGCCCAGGCGTCCGCGTCGCCAAGGCCTCCTGCCGCGCAGCACGAGCCCCGGGAAACCACAGGCCACAGCGGGCCTCGGGCCGCCCCCCGCCCCCGAAGTCTGTCTCCCGGGCTCGGGTGGGCGAGGCGGAGCTTTTGCCTGGCGGCGTCAGGGGGTCAGCGGGCACGCGAGGCTGCCGCGAGAGGCCCCTGCCCCGGGCGCTCCACAGCTGGGTGAGAGTCGCCCACTGTGCACGGGGATCCCCCCACTTCCCTCACACACCCCTCACTTCTTTTCCCTTCATCCATAGGGACAAGAGTCCTCTAGCTCGCAAATTCTGAACGGCGGCGCCTGGCCAGGACACCGCCTCTCGTGTTGCCACGGTCCTCCCGTGCCACGGCAGCCCGCGCCGTCCATCGGCGGGGCGGGGCGGAGCCAGGAGCCTCACGACGACACATGCAGGCTGGTGAACTCTAACCTGTCCAGAGGCCTCGGACTCTGTTCACAAGATGCCTGACGCCCACCGAGGCTGACTCGGGGAGGCACCCCAAGTGAGCAGGCGGGGCTACGGGGGCAGGTTTCTAGGACGTTCCTGCTCTTCGGGGCAGGGCGCCCTCCCTCCCGGGAAGGGGTTATCGCCCAGGGGGTGCCCAGCACAGCAGCTCCCAACCTGGACCGTCAGCCCAGCCTGTCTCCAGAGCCACCTCCAGACCGGCAGCAGAGCTGCGGAGCCACGGAGAGCCCACCGGCGACCTGCTCCTCCCGCTGGCCAGAGGGGTGCGGGCTGGAAGAGGCGTGGCCTGCGGCGCGGGGGGCCACCCCCACCAGGGGCCCGGTGCTGGCAGGGAAGCGCAATGGTGCCCGAAGAGAGGACAGGGAAGAGGCAGGGAAAGCGGCGCGTTCCCGGCCCAGGGTGGGGACCCCGACACTGCAGCAGAACAGATGACCCCAAAAAGGTGGCACGATCCTGCACGAGTGTTTGCCCGCGCTGGTGGCCCGGGGGCACCAATTACTTTAAGCGTAAAAACAGAAAATGCGGACTTGGCCGAGGAGGGCGGGAGTCCGAGACGCGGGGCTCCCACCCCGCTTGTGGGCTGCGGCCTGACAGCCCCTTTGGCGCGGCCTCGCGAGCAAACAGCAGGGCCCCCAGCGGGCTGGGGCCTTCGGGGCCCATGGAGGTCGGCGCCGGGTCCGACGGGGCAAGAGCCCGAACTCACGGCATCAATCGCCATCGCCGCGAGAGCCGACCGGACGCTCCTCCCAGAGCTCTTCCATGCACACGCTGGAGGCCGGCAGGAGCCGGTCATCATCCCCGCTGGCCGCCCTGGCTTTGGTGACCCCCGCCCCTCGTGACGCCAGCCCTGCCCACAGGCTGGCTCTGGGGCCAAGGTCGCCACCCCCGACAGTGCTTACTCACCCCGAGACGCCCCAACCCGGAGGCGAGCCGGCTGCGAGAGCCCTTTACCTTCTTGGGGGCTGAGAGGGACAAAGCTGAGCCCCTGGTCTGGGGGGCTAACTAACCCCAGGCCCCAGGCGAGTCAAAGAGCGAGCGCAGGGCCAGTGAGCACCTGCTGGCCTCCAGCGCAGCGTTCGTGGGGCCTCCGGGGGCGCAGGGCCTCCGGGGGCGCAGGGCTGTGAGCAGCCGCCACGGAGCCCGGCGTGACGCGGGATCTCAAAACAACAGGCCCGTCGGTGGTGTGCAGCGAGGTTTCTCTTTCAGTGGTGGCTCCTGACTGTGTGGACAAGCCCAGCACCCCGGACCGAACATCCTGGACCGAGCACCCTGAGGACGCGCCCTGCAGACTGGCCCAGGGAGGGAGCCGCGCCCGGGGCCGAACGAGGAGCAGGGAGGTCGGGAGAGTGACCGCCGGTCTCAGGGGTCAGCCATGGGGCTTTTAAAAGCCACCCAAGGCAGCAGAAAATGCGATTCTGTGACGCTTACACCGGCGGTGTCTTCTACCAGCTAAGACCCTGGTTGAATACATACAAGGAAACTTTTTAAAAAGCGAGAGGTGGGAAGGGCAGGGAGGCGGCCGCTCGGTGCCCGGCTCTGACGGAACGCATCCGGGCCACACACGCCAGCCGCGACTTTACCAGAACGACTACGGGACTGACACTGCTCCCTCGTGTTGCTGGCGGTCCCAGTTTTTGAAGTGATCCAAAGAAAGAAAGGAAGAAAGAACAGCACTGTAATAACGACGAGCTTGCACAGAAAGGAGACTGCTTGACGGCAGCCATGATTTCCAAAGGTGCAGATTTTACTTAAAAAAGCATAACGCTCCAGAGGTGGCTGGACCGGAGGCCACTCGAGGCAGAGACCCTGGGCCTGCGGGCAGCCTCGGGCGCAGGCCCCTCGGGGGACAGCCGAGCCGTGGGGCCCGTCTGCAGGACCCCACCAGCCCCGTGGGCTTTGTTTCAAGAGCCCTCACAAGATCCCTGAGGCGGCAGCGAGCAGGCCTTGAGTCCAGTCCGCAAGTGAGGGCTGACGCCCAGTGAAGGAGGCCGGGGCCGCGCCCTCCTGGCCGCCTGCAGCACTGTGGGCCGTGGGTCATAGTGGGTCAACAACAGGGGGCCCCTTTGAGGAAGGACAGGAGAGAAAGGGAAGCGGGTGCGCGACAGAACGGCTGGGAAGGGGTTTTAGAAAGTGTAAAGCAATGGGGAGAAAGGGCAGCGTCCGGCTGGCCCCCGCCAGCGGGCAGCCGAGCCCACACGCGCCAGCTCCCCCGGCCTGTCCAGGTAGCGCACCGCAGGCCGGGCCGGCACCAGCCCCTTGGCCAGGGTGCGCTCCCCAGCGCAGCACAGGAAGCCCAGCGGGAAGCCGCAGCAGGCCCCTTCTCGGCCGGCCGGAGGCAGCGGGCGCCTCCCCTACCTTTGCTTCGTCGTTAATGTCCCACGTGAAAGAAATGGCGTTGTAAGCGATCTCCTCGATGTTGCTGATGGTGTTGAAGCTCTCCTTGTAGTCAGCTGGGGGGACAAGCAAGAGGGTGAGTCCCGCTCCCACGTGGGGCGGCCACAGTTCAGGGGCCGTGGTGCATATCCGCGCCTCTGGGAAGTTTAAGTGACGCCGTGGTGGGCTGGAAGGAGTTCCAAAGAGTGGAAACAGGCGCCCCGGCATTTTAAAGATAGAGGCTGCCTCAGGCTATGCGGTTGAGGGCCGTCACATCCAGATTTGGAAAGCTGGAGCTAAAAAGCGTAAATAACCGCCCCAACGTCACAAAACTGGTCCAGAGAACCAAGATCTGAGCTCGGTCTCAGCCCCCTGGGGTGGGGCAGGCACGTGAGGCAGAGCCGGGCAGCGGGGTGCACAGCCGGGCACTCGCAGAGGCCGCCCGGGAGCGGCGCGGGAGCCACGCTGCGGCCACCGTCCTCTCGGAGGCTCGCTTTACTCCTCCAAGTTGTCGCCTCCTCCAGGTTACCAGGCTCCCAAGGAAGGCCCAGGGCCTGGAAAGCCCGACAAGCTGGACGCAGGGGCGGCCCGCGGCCGGCCGGCTCAGGGCTACAGGCGGCCCGCGCCGACCGCCGACCTCCGGGCGGAAGCAGAGTCCCGGCGACTCCCGGGCCGGGCACCGTGCGGAGCGGCTCCGTGGCTGCCACAAACGCCCGTGCTCTCGGCCGCCAGGATGACTGGGCTCAGCAGGCTGGGCGCCCCGGGCCACCTACCGATGTCGATGCACCTCTGCTTGGCCGTGTGCTGCCGTGAGTGCCAATACTTCCAGTGCCGCAGCTGGTCCTCCCGGCTCTTGTCCTCGGCAAACACCACCATGATCACGCTCTGGGAAGGCGACGGCCGAGAGGAAGCAGTCAGGGGTGGCGCCTCCGGAAGACTCAGCGCGCTCGGCAGGATCGCGAGGGCGCCGGCCGGGAGCTGCGGGCTCAGGCCCGGCCTCCTTCCCGGGGCCACTGGCTCACCCGCACTTTGCTGATGGGGTGGTGGATGCCCTCGCTGCTGCTCACTTCCTTTAAGGTGACGGGGTAGAACTGGCCTTTGTTCAGGTACGTCATGGTGCTGTCTCCCGGCTTCTGGCGCAGCGATTTGGAAGCCTCGAGGGTATATTCGAAGTTGTTTCTAAAGAACAAGAAAAGCCAACATGTCCAGTCCCCTCCCGGCCAGGTTTCCTGTGCGCACCAGCTCCGCCTCGAGGGCTTCATCGAAGACGAGCGTGAGCAGCAGACAGAGCCCAGCGCCCGCGAGGGGAGAACGCGCCCGGCGCGGCCCGTGACCAACCTGATCTGGAGCTACCGGCAACGCCCGTCGCCCCGCTGTGGGGCCGCAACGCGGCCGCTGTGACGAGAGCAATCAGAGCAGCAAGCTGAGGGCGCGGGAGGTGCCGACGCCGCGGGGGACGCCGGGAAGGGCCCTCACAGAGCATGCTGGCCGCCTGCTGCTTGCCCAGCGGAGGCCGAAACCAGGGCCCGGTGGTCCTCAACACCACCCGGTCTGCTGGTATGTTCTGTCTGCTTGTCCTGCATGTCCTCAGACGGACCCCTGCAGCGCCAGGCTCATCCCCAACCCCGCCCCGCCCCAGCTGCTGAATGACCTTTTAAGTGAGGGGTCAGCAACGACACCACTTTGTGAACAGTTCTGCAGCTTGGAGGGGCCATGCCCTGTCTGGGTTTCCTCACAGAGCAGGGCAGCTGGGGCGGGCTGGACCCACCGCCCCGCACCAGCGTGTCTGCCCTCCCAGGCCCTGACACGACCCGAGGGGCCTTTCCGGGCCTGGAGGCCACAGCCTCGGGCTCTAGACAGTGCTAGCTGGAATGCTGGGCTGTTCCAATAACCCAGCAGAGACACTCTGTGTTTCAAAGTATCACACACACAAAAAGTACATGAAACAAAATTACAAAACGACATCCTTAGACATTCTTTTAAAACATCCAAAGGTGTTTTCACGTGTCCACAAATACCTTGGAAGATAATCATGTCCCCAGAGTGAGATGGTTTTGTGGAGGTTTAAAAGGAGAGGTAGTCAGGTCAGAGAAGAAGCTGACTTCCCTTATCATTATGAGACTAATAAAAATAAAAGAAGGTCCTTAAAAACAAATAAAATAAATTAAAAGTAGATTAAAAAGTCCTTGTCTACCTGAATCCTCGTCTCCTTTTAAGAACGGAAGGTGGGGGGCTCCCTGGTGGCACAATGCTTTAAAGCGCAGCACTATGAAGCTCTCCGCAGCCGCGGCTGCACGAGCTCGATCCCCGGCCAGGGAGCGACCCCCAAGGCATAGCAGACCCCTCCTAACTCCCCGCGGCTCCCCTCAGCACTGGGTTTCAGTGGCTCCACCTGTTCTGCTCCCCACTCTGTCTCTGGGGAGTCCTCTCACCCCTGCACCTCTGGCCTGTACCCCAGTTCTTGTGTGCATACATAAATCTTAAAAGAACAGAAGGGACCTCAGATGTCTTCATTTAACCTCCGTCTCTCAGAGTCCACTCCACAGCCCTCACCCGAAGAAGCCCAAGGGAGAGAGCGCCCGACACCAGGAGAGCAGGAGACGTGAGGGCGCGAGGCCGGGCTGGCGCGCGGGGGCGAGCGGCTGCTAGCAGAGACGCAGGGCACCGCCACCAGTGAGGGCCGAGCCGCGGCGCCACCTCGGATTTTCCGACACCGTGCGAACAAGAAGGAAGCGCCGTCAAAGCTGGAAGTCGAAAATCAAGTCAAAAGACAACCATTACCCAGAAACACTGTCAAAAACATAGTCCTCCGAATCCACGCCGGGCATCCGCAGGCTGAGGTCCGAGGGGAAGAACACCTGCAACACCAACGTGACAGGCGAGCTGCCGGGCGGGCCGGCGGCCAGGCCCTGCCTGAGCGCTGCGGACACCTTTCGCACCACAGCCCACGCGGCGCGCCCGCTCGGGAGAGCAGGCCAGGCTGCACGGGCACTCTTCCCGCCTCGGCCCCGCCTGCACATGTCCAGCCCCGGGGCCCGGGCCAGGGCCCCTCAGGGCTTGGCCAGCTGGTGGCCTGCACGGCCAGGGGAGACATGGTGTCCCGTCCTGCTGGCCGGGCGGGGCGGCGGGGACCCGTCGGCCGGGACGGAGCCTCGCGCGTCCTTGCATCCGCCCCGAGCACCGCGGGGCCGAGCTCTCCCCGGGCGCTGCCGGCCACCAAAACCCGCCAAGGCCAGAGCGGCCGGACACCTCACGCATGCGCTGCACACGCGCCCGGCCTTGGTGACGGCGCCCAGCAGGGGCAGCAGCAACCGCGACCGGCCTTGCGCACGCAGGCCGCTGGCCGCAGGGCCTCCGCCCCAGAGCCAGAGGGACGCCGGGCCGGGGCCGCGGGAGGCGGCCAGGCCCGCTCCCTCCCGGCAAAGCTCTCGGCTCAAGTCATCGTTGTTAACTCAGCTGCCGGTAAGATTAGCCGTGTGCCCCGATAATATTTTCTGGTTTTATAGGTTTAGTTTACAAATTACACCAGGGGCCTTTTCTCTTAAAAAAAATCTTTTGTTCCTAATCTACTCACTTCAGGCTGAGTTTCAAGCTTACATAACAAGGAAGGGGCGGAACCCAACCCTAGACAAACACACAGCGGCCGCGGGAGATGCGCTCGCCCCTGTACCTCCTGCACGCCTTCCTTGAAGGTCTCCGAGAAGGTGGAGTCCGGGGTGCGCCGCTGAGCGTTCGGCGGCTGGGCGCCCGAGCCGAACTGGTCCGGGGTAAGGCCCCGGTCGAACACCACCACCCGCTCGGCGGGCTCCGGGGGATACACAGCCGGCGGCACGCCCACCGCGAAGCCGTGGGGCTCGCTTTCCGTCTTGATGGAGTGGGTGGGCATCGTGGCGATGGAGACGGTGACCGTGGTGTCAGGAGCTGCCAGGTGGCCTCGCTTGTCCATGCCCAGCTGGCTGCCGTGGGGGAGCACGAGGTTGAAGGGCACGTTTTTCAGCACTTGCACGCGGTTTTCTCCAGCAGACAGGAGGGGCTGCTCGGGCACGCCGGGGATGCTGTTCCTTTCGGGAAGGAAAACAGAGCTGTGCGCTCAGGCCCTGCTGGCCGCCTCTGTTCTTGGACAGTCTTTACTATGCTAAGGGCACCGGGCTGGAAGGCCCTGGGCCGCAGGCCCCCGCCAAGGCAGCTGGCGGAGCAAGACCAGAGACTTCATCCGGAGCGATCGAGTGGAACCCCAGGTCCGGGCCCAGCCCCTGCAGCCCGCGCGTCCCAGCAGGCTGCGTGGCCAGGCGCCTGGGCGCGGCCGGAGGCGGGCGCAGAGCTGTGGCTCAAGTCCGGCCCCGCAGTCAGGAAGGAGGCCCTGGCTCAAATCTGGTGTGGCCGTGAACAAGTGACTTCGGCTCACCCAGAAGCAGGGAGAAAGGGACGAGCCTGGCACACGAGGGCGCGAGGGGGGCGGGTCACCGCTCATGCCCGCGTTTCCGACCACTGGGCTTGACGGGTTTGCTCTTTGGCCAAAAGAAAACCTGGACCACTCCACACCAGCCACCTACTCACACGAAATTATTCACGGCTTAACTGTGGGCGGGAGAAGATGACCTTAGTCTAGGGCAAGATAAGTGAATCTTCGAAGAGGCCCTTTGAGGAGAATAGCGATTTGGCAATTTTTCTACATGTCAAGATCAATAAAATGTTCAAACTGTGAGTCATAAACTCACTCCCAGGAATTTATCCTAAAGAGAGAACGAGGAAGTTGCACCGGTGAAAATGCAGACACGGCCTGTATGGGAAGGATAGCTTGAAAACAGCCCAGCAAAAATAAACAAAAGAAAAAATTAATTTAAAAGTTAAAGAAACAGGAAGAGCAGATCAAGCGGGAGGAATCATGTCAACAGTCATCAAAGCCGGCAGCAACTGCACATAGGCGATTATACTGTTTCTCTAACGTTAACGCTGAAAATGCCCGTGATACAATTAAAAACGAAAAGGCGTAGGCTCTTCTCCAGAGTGACTGTGAAGATGAAAACAGCAACATGGAAAATACTCGTGAGCAGCTACGCAGAGGAGTTCGGGCTGTCTGTGAGCTCAGCTGGGGCCACGGGAAGCGGGGCGCCAGGGAGGCCTGCGGGGTCGGGGTGTCGCGGTCCCCCTTTGCCTAAAATGCCTCACTCCTTTGTCGAGTAGAATGCGGGGCGTTGCAAAGGTGTGTTTAAGGGTGCTTTTTTTTTTCACGGTGATGAAAGTCAAGGCTTGATTTAACTTTCCAAAAGTTTTAACCTGAAGGGTTTAAAATGCCTAGGGGGGCTGGGGGACCGTCGGAGGGGCTCGAGGTGTGACTCAGGCCGTCACAGAGTCCACGGCACTGGACCTTTGTGGACGGACCCGCACCACCGCCGTACGCCACTTCCTTAAGGAGCCCCAGGCAAACAAGCACACACTTCACCAGGGGCACAGACCCGCAGCCGCGTGCAGCAGGAGAAAGTCAGAGGCCTTGTTTTCTAGAAAAGGCAACGAAGCCTAGAGAAACGGGCAGCTTTTCAGAAGCAGAGTCACGACCACGAAGAGGGCATCGGCCACGAAGCCTTCATCTCGACACTGACAACCCACTTACCTGTTTCTTCCGCCAGCGCTCGCTTGCCCGGGACACACTCTCCCTTTTTTTTCACGAAAGTGTGGCATCTGTCAAGTGCCAGCTACTGTTCTCTGTGGGGCGTTACCTTTTGCTGTGATCTGGCTCTGGGTGCTCAACGTCTGGCTTTGCCATCGACGACCTTCTCTCTCTCGGCACCTTGGACACAACACAGACCAGTTAGTGCCGCCGGGGCCGCGCAGACACAGCCCCCCTCTCTGCAGCCAGCGCCGCCGCTCCTACGCCCAGCGGCGACGAGGACGGGGTCTGCTCTCCGGGAGTCTGCAATCGAGTTGCCAGGCTGACGTGTAAAAACCAAGTGTCACTGGGTCACCAAATGAGCCCACAGGTAGGCCTGGCCACCAAGTGTGGGTCCCGGGACTTGCCTCTGGCCCATTCCTCCGGGTCAAGCAACGAGAAGCTGCTACTCTCAACACAGCTGGTTCTTCCAGATTTCCCTCTGTCCTTCCCCACCATCTTTCCTCTCAAATGCCAAGTCAACAGGACCCTTCATGTCACCAGTCCACTTCTGAGCTCCAACTTTGGCTCCATTTCATAATTTCTTTGGCTACCTGGGGGCTCCCGCTGTCCACGACACACAGGGGAAGTCTTTCTCAGCTGGCTCTACTCCTCCTTTGATTCTGCTCTTTGCGAAGGCGGTCAGGAGGGGGCAAGAGTCAGTGGGTACATGAGAACGGAGTCCCTACACGGTACCCCAAAATGTCTAAAACGGATGTGACTGGGGTGGGTCTATTACTGCATTCTTGTTCCACCCTTAGAAATTAAATTAGTTACTGCTTCATGCACTAACAATGTGCTCATCAGACTTTACATCCAGGCAACCAAGGCAAGTCAGTCAACTCATTTAAGTAAGAAAACAACCCTACTCTGTCCTCGAGAAGCCCGACAAGCGCCACCAAGACTGCCACCCTTGCTGGACAGACGAGGCCTGCCCCTCACCCCCCAGGGAGCGTGGCACCAAGGAGCCCCCACACAGGCACCTCGCGAGCGGCTGCCCAGGGGCTGGTGCCCATCACCCCCGGGCTGGCTTTGCCGCCATCCTCAGAAATTCCACTTAGAAATTGGCACGTCCACCTCTGAGATCTCCAGGAGCTTGTTTCTTACACTCACAGAGTCGCCGTCACGGTAAGGACTGGCTGCTAAGGGCCTCCCTGGTGGCGCAAGGGTTAAAGCGCAGTGCTGTGAATGACCCACAGTACGAGTCCGATTCCGGCCAGGGCGTGACCCCCAGGGCACAGCTGACCGCTCCTATCTCCCCACTGTACCCCACAGTTCTTGTATGCAAGAATAAATAAACCTTAAAAAAAAAGAACAGCTTGCTAAGACGTCCCACCGGTTTCTATTCACTTTCAAAGAAAAATAAAGGTCACCCCAGCCCCTCAAGCCAGAAGATAATCCAGGCTTTACCCGGGCCCCACCCTAACAGGATAAACCAACCTCTGCCTGGGCCGCCTCCCTGCGTGCAGCAAAGAACACACCTGCCGAGGAACAAGAGGCACCCAGGCGGCGGCCCGGAGAATGGGACGCTCGCTGACTGGCCTGTCAGCCGCAAGGCTCCTGTAGGTTGGGAAGTTTCCCCTAAAACACACACTCCAACATCTGCCACTGGTCTGCAGAAGGTGGACGTGACACAGCAGGGCACACTGCCCAGCGTGGGCTGGGCACCGCCGGGCAGCCTGAGCACTTCACTGCTCTCGTCCGCGGCAAGGGGTAACCCACACATCCTGCAGGGAGACGGGCAGGAAAGGACCTGGCAGGAAGGGGGTAACCAGCGGGGGTGCTCAGGGTTCACGCGACACAGGACGCGGCGGGCAGGGGTGCCCGGCCC